ACATTTGCATACTTGAGTTCAAATCATTTCGATTTTGGTGAGATGGTTTGTAATTGTTTATTTACAATTGTTCTTGATTGTATCATTAGTGCTCAAACTTGTTTATCTCGTGTTATAGAGCATCTCCCACGTCCATTAACTCTCCAATTGATTGTTTCGATCGAAACGTGCTGAAATTTGCTCACACAGACACGAGTGGGTCTGATGCATAGTGGAAAACAAGCCACCTATGTGCTTCAAGATGTTCGTGAGTAGATATATGGCAACCATGCTGGAGGATGGTTTCTAACATAGAAGGTATTGAGACAGGGATATTATTGTCCTATTCTAAAAAATGATGTACAGCAATTTACAAAGAAGTGTAATAAGTATTAACGCGATCTAGAGGCAGCCCTCTTAGGAGCTAAGTATTGTTTTCTAGCCCCTGATTATTCACCAAATGGGGGATCAATCTCATAGCCCTCCTACCTAAAGGAAAAAATGGCCCCAGTTTTGCAATTGTTGTTATTAACTACTTTACAAAGTGGATCGAGACCAAACCTCTTGCTAAAATTATTGAAGCTAATACTTCCAAATTTTTACGGAAAAATATCATATGTCGGTATAGAATTCCGCATTCAATTGTTTCGGATAATGGGTAACATTTGACAACAAGAAGGTTAGGAATTTATGTGGGGAGTTAGGAATCAACAAGTACTTCTCTTTCCCACATCATCCTTAGGCTAATGGGCATGAGACGCCGTCAATAAAACCATCAAATATGCGCTCAAGCGAAAATTGGATGCTCTAAGAGAGCTTGGTAGATGAACTTCCTCAAATTTTATGGACCATCAGAACTATTAATGGAATAGCCACAGAAGATACTCCATTTGCCATGGCTTATGGAGACGAGGCTGTAAGTCCTATCGAAGACGGCTTGTCATTTCCTCATTGCATATATTTTAATTAAATATCTAACGATAAATTGAGAAGGTTGGAACTAGACTTCTTTGAAGAAAGAAGGGATGGATCCCAAGCAAAACTAGCTATCTACCAGCTAGGTATTATAACTCTAAGGTTAAGAAGAATTCATTTTACTTAAACAACCTTGTGCTAAGGACAGTGTTACTATCTTCTAAGGAATCAGGAGTGCGAACCCTAGGCCTTAATTGGGAGTTTCCCTATCGCATCAAGGAATAGGTTTGACTAGGGGACCTACAAAGTTGAAGGTATAGATGGACACGCTAGCTGCCAACACTAGTGAAAATTTCAAATTACAAAAAAATCTCAAATAATGAAATGAAGAGCAACAAGGCAATAACTTCTTATATGAAAATGCAGTAAAGACGACAAATGACAAAAAATGTCTTCATTCATTACAAAGAATATTACATCTGTGGGCTTCGAGGCCATTTATATAATATTTCAAGATCCTATCACTATACAAGTAGGAGAAGGAGAGGTAAAAATGGTACAATAGCAACGAGAGCCACTTCTTCCACTGCGTCGTCTTCAATTTTGATCAATGGCTATCCTTCGCGGGAGTTTGAGGCTCATCTCCCTCCTTTAAGAACTCAAACCTTAACTTAGAGGTGTTGAAGGTTCGTAAGTTCACTTCAATCCACTTTACGACATTAGTGTAGGCATACATCCGCCAATACTTGGCAAAATTTGGTATGCCTCAGTGTGGTAGAAGTTGGCAATATAATGTTTCTCAGCTTCACTTCTTGTAGATTCAGCTTCTCTCTTTCCCATCTTCACTTCCCTTGTTAGGCCCGATACTCTGGAATTCAGCTCCCCTACCTACTGCTTCAAAGCAGTATTTTCTTTATTAGCCATCTCCAAAGCCTCACCAACCAGCTCCTGGTAGGCGTTAGACTCTCTATTTACTTCGTTAGGGATGCCACCTTATTGTGCAACAAGTGAATCTCCTTTTTCAAATCTTCAATTTCTACCAGTACAAAAACAAGCTTTACAGTCTCTTCAGCCTTTTGTTTCTTCAAAGCCTCCACCCTAGACTTTGTCTTCTTGGCCTGGGAGGCCTATTCGTGAATTCTTTATGTTTTCTTTGAAGGATTTTAAAGAGGGCCTTTGTCTCTATTACAATACAAAACACCATTCTCGTTTGGCTCACGATGGCGGTGAAGATATCCACCCATTCAATGGTCTCTATGAAAGATTGCCAATGGCATGTCTAGAACTTGTAAAATGTTGATGTTGTAGTCTGAACCTCTAGAGGAATCATCGACAGAACCTCCAAAGCCATCTCATCACTCTGTTGAGAAACAAGGAGCTTGGAGCGATGACATGCATCAAATGCAGTGGACCCACTTGATGTCCCCACCCTCTTAGAGGAATCTTGCCATGGGAAGTGTGGTGGTGGGCTGGCCATGGACCTACCCTCTCTGATAGTAAAGAATTTCTTTTTCTTGGGGATAATGAAAATAACTTTTTGTGCACAATTTTTTTTTTTTTTTAGCTATTGTCATTTATTACCAAAGATCATGGTGTTATGCCTTTACATATTATCTAGAAAGCCTAGTCTTTGATCTTGCTTCGAAATTTCTTTCATGTTTGGCTCTTGAACTTCTCATCTTGATCTTTCTTTGATTACATCTCTCATGTTTTTGATCTTGATCTTTCTTGACATTTATCTTTTAAGTTCTCATCTCGAATGATTTGACTTGAATGTTTAACTTCCACTTTGATCTTCATTTTAAGTCCGATTATAATACTTAATTGATTTTAATATTGAACTATGATCACTCAAAATAAATTGTTAGAAGCAATATTAATCTTGTTTGCTATGATAAAAACATTGAGGATGAAGTTGACCATATGTCAACCCAAATCAGTTGGGCACTATAATTCAAGACGCCTCATATTCATGACACCCATACTTGCCTCAGCCTACGGCTTCTGTCATGTTGACGAAGATTCCCCACTTTAGCTTCACATTCATAGCTTATACAAGACCTTCAAAAAAAAAAAAAAACGAGAGAATGGAGAGTAGTATTGGTCACATGTACCTCAACTTTGCTTAAATATCTGAATAAATAAGGGGCCCATCATAAAACTTCAGCTTGTGATCTCCATAAGTACTTCGAACATTTCATCATATATTTTACTTTCAAATTCTAATTTTTGTAGATAAATATTTACAATTAGACTTGGGGAACTATTATTGTGGGATTAAAAGTAACCACCCCCACAATGTGTGTGTGTGTGTGTGTGTGTGTATATATATATATATATAACACAAAGTCCATGTACTACATTAATGATCATACGTAAACAAGGGGGACTATTGTTCGTCTCATATCTGATGCTCCCAGTGCAAGCCACGTGAAGGCAGTATGTACAAGACAACAGGCAGTCAACAAAGTCAGCACTCCTCCTTTGGCCAAGACACACTCTCTCATAGAACCTCTACCATCCAAAGTAATTTTCCCTCCTAGCTGAAGTACTCTCTCAAAATCAAAGCACATGTTACTTTCAAAGCAGATTGAAAATGTCAGCGTAGGATGTAGGTCGGCTGATCCCTTGTCAGTACAATTAATTTGTGGCAAAGAGTGATGTAGACTCTGGTTAACAAGATGAGGTCACGTGGTGTTGATTCAACGGTAGCCACGTTGATCCAAACTTTATAAATAACAACACTTGTAACCTTTTAAGGGATTGAAAAAAAATATATGTATGATTACACGTGAATTCTCAGTAAAATCTCTTTCTTGTTCATTCCACATTTACATACTTGAGTTCGAATCATTTTTAGTTTTAGTGAGATAGTTTGCGATTGTTTATTTACAATTGTTCTTCATCATGCTGTCGATTTTTGAATGTGTTTGTCTTGTGTTATAGAGCATCTTCTTCGTCCATTGATTTTCCAATTGATTATTTCGATCGAAACATGTCGAAATTTGCTCTCAAAGAGACCAGTGGACCCGACATCTATTTTTCACGTTGCTATTGCAAAAAAGGGGGGGTCAACACTTACAATACACCATAACCTATTGTCTATAAGCTAATTAGGCGAGTAAATTCAACATTTCGAAATAATGGAATTTTATAACCGAAAAAGGTTGGAAGACTATTTATTCACAAAACAATTAGTAGGATTAACCTTTTTTTTTTCCATAGCCCTGTTTCATGAGAGCTTAAGGGTTTACCATTGCTCAAAAGTAGGATTGGCAATGGGGCTGATCGCGGGACGGTTGCGTTGTTTACGTAGCTGTTTTTTTTTTTTCATAGTTTTATGATAATTCATTTTATTACCTCCATTCATTCAAGTAAGACAATAATATAGCTGTTAAATTTTGTAATTAATTTATTTGTTTTTAAAAGTTAAATTACTTGAATACATTTGGTAAACTGAAGTTTTTATTGGGCGATTTTCCATTTAAACTATTGGATTCTTTATAAAAAAAAATTAAATTTAACGGGGAGAACCCTGTTACCCATACTCGGCTCGAGGTGGAATTCCCCGCCCCATACCCGACCCAATTACCCAATTAAGCAGGTAATCTCTCCCCCATTTGGTGCGGGAGGGCGGGGCCGTGGGTGTCAAATTTAACGTGGATTTTTGTCATCTCTACTAAAGAGAGAATTTCTACTTGAAAAGTGGGGTCATTTATCCAGCTCAGAAAAAATTAAATCAGAAATTAATTTTTAGCTATAATTAAAAATCACTGAAGACAGCATAATCTAAGCCATTGTTTGGCTATTGTTTATAAATTATTTATAATGGATTAAATCATTTTTTACACACAAATTATGTGGAACTCACAAGTATTTCTTACTTATCCACGGTTCATTTTTGTATATTTATAATTTAAACTATTTATAAACAACTCCCAAAAAATGATTATTTTTATGTTGCACCATGATAGTAAGAGCAAGATTATACAAATATCAATTGTAGTTGAAGTTTTAGGCCACTCTCTTTACATGGAGCGTGGTGATAAGAAATACATAAAATTTATAAATGGAGAGAAAAGAAGAATTCAAAGATCAAATCAATATCCTCTTCAAATTTACTAAAAATGGTATCCTTTATTATTAAACGTACATTTACATAATGATCTTTATTGACACAAACTACACCAACTTATCTAATGTGCAAATCATAGTAATAAAAATCTATCGGGAACATATTTATTAAGTACAAATAACATAAAAGTGTAGAATTTAGTTTCCCCGGGAATCTTATTTCCCATTTTTGTTCCACCATGAGTAGAGGGACGGAATACTTTGTTCATTCTGGAAGAAATTAGCAGGATCAACTTTGGTTTTCACATGAACCAATCTGTTGAAATTATTCTTGAAATATTTGATCCCCCAAATGTTGGCTTGTGCATAGCTTGTATTGCCCTTGTTATTAACTCCAATATCAAGATCTCTATAGTTGATATATGCAGCCCTTGGAAATCTTGAAACATAAGGAGCCATGTAACTGTAAAGCTTTCTAATCCAATTTATATACTTATCTGATGCCTCTATCTCTTCTTGTTCCCAATACACCAAGTGCTGGATTTTGTACAAATTACCAGCTCTGTGAGGAAAGGGAATTGCAGAATCTGAAATTTCCTCCATTCTTCCACCATATGGACTCAATATCATCTCAGCTTCCTCAGCTTCCTCTTCAAAAAACAATTTCCAAATGAACAGTTTGTTTGCCATCTTGGCTTGAATTGACCCTTCTAATATAGACTCCAATGAACAAATCCTCGTTGAATTTGTGTGCGATGTATTGCCATCGGTGAACAATATTTGTTGCATTTTGATCCAAGGTCTTGTTAATTGTAAACACAGTGACTTGTTCTGGAACATCGACCAATTGTATCTTCCAAGCAAGAATGACTCCAAAACTAGCACCTCCACCTCCTCTTATGGCCCAGAAGAGATCTTCACGCATTGATTTTCGATCGAGAATCCTTCCATTCACGTCAACCAAGCGCGCATCAATTATATTATCTGCTGCAAGCCCATATTTTCTTAACAATGCTCCATACCCTCCTCCACTGAAATGCCCCCCAACTCCAACGGTAGGGCAAACACCAGCAGGAAATCCTAGGGTTTGACTTGTCTCCGAAATTCTATAGTATAGTTCCCCGATGGTTGAACCGGATTGAACCCATGCAGTTTTGTTATCAGCATCAACACTTATTTCCCTTAAGTTGAAAAGATCAAGTATGACAAAAGGGACTTCTGATGCATATGAAAGTCCTTCATAATCATGGCCACCACTTCGAACCCGTATTTGCATTCCATTTTCTTTGGCGCAATATATGATGGGTTGAATTTGGGATTCTTGCACGGGGGTAACAATGAGTAATGGTTTAGGTGTTGTTTCTGACGTGAATCGAAGGTTTTGTATGGAGAAATTTAGGATTGATGAGTATGAAGTATTGTTTGGGGTATAAACAACATTGGAAATGGAAGAGTCATTGTTTGATTGAAGGGACATACATTGAATAAAATCATCATATCCATCAGAAGAAACTGCCCATGAACATGAGAAGATTACAAGAAGAGCAAATAAAGGGGAACAAATGCTTGGAGTCTTCATCATTTAATGTAGACTGATTAATTTGTATATTGCAAAGAAGAGAACATACTGAATTTATAGTGTCATGAAGTTGAAGTTGCATGCTTCTTTCGAAACATTGAATATTAATGTGAACATCAGGTTTGAATTTCTGTTACAATAACTGTGTGATAACGACTATTCCAATTGAAGTTGCTATATGAACAAATTTCTCAATATTATTTTGTTCATTTACATTATTTGTCCAGATTATGTATTCTAGCTAAGAGAAGAAAATTGTTTTTCCATGGTCTAACAGATTAGTATTTTCAGAAATTAATATATAAAAATAAACGCATCCCAATTGCTTATTTTGTATTATTAATTTGGTTATTTCTTCAATGGAGAAGTCATAATATTCGAGATTAGTTGATGTTTCAAAGTCATATATTTTCATTTGATAAAATCTAGAAGTTGACATTTAACATTCCTTGAATTTATGTAGCTTCAGCATACATAGACAGGTGAACTGATACTCCAATATCTACGTTTTCGATAAAAATCTGTAATCCGTAAGAAATTAGAACTTGATTTACAGGCAAAGATTATTATATGCTGATTAATTCTAAATTTTGTGACACAAAATTTATTATTTGTCTGTATAAAATTAAGCTTCTAAATCTTGTGATGCTCTCATATACTTATTTACGTTAAGTATTTCGATCAAGTATTTTTCTGCATGCTAAAAAAAAAAAAAAAGTTGTATAATATGATTTCTCGTCCCACTGGTGTATTTATTAGCTGAAGCCATAAAAGATGGCAAGAAAGTACTAACACTTGGCAAAAAAACTTTCATTGCAAATTTCAGGAATTTCCCGGAAAATGAATAATCAGAATATTCAAAGTAGGAAGTTAGGAAAATTAATTACCCAAAAAAAAAAAGAAAAGAAAAGAAAAGAAAAGAAAAGTCAGTGTGTTTGGGGTCAATTCTAGACTTGCCCTTAGAAATATTGAAAAGCCTGTAAGACCAACTAGATTGACGGAAGGGCCACTAAGACTATATTTTGTTGAAAATAAGTTCAAAAACTTTCAAATTGATAGTTAAAATTTCAGATTTAATGCATTTTAAGTTTTCTGTTTTTTATTTTAATTTTCAGACTCAATACAAAATTTAATCTCATTATTATATTTGTAACTTTTATTTAATTTGATTAATTTTCATTATGAGAGTGTTTAATTTTTCTACTATTAAAGGGGTGGATTTTCACTTTTTTTATATACAAAAAAAAAAAAAAATTTGAAAAATACTCTTTAGTAATTTCGTATTATCTTCTTCTATAATTTTGACAATTGATAAGGGCATATTCTCTCTCTCCATGGTCGAGCCCATAGAAGGAGAATCGACTGCGAGCTATAAAAGTTTTACCTTGGAGCCAAGCAGTGTCGAAAGTACCCGCACGAAGAAGAGGTCAAACGATTTCAGGACAGCGTTTATCGCGACTCTTTTGGATAAGCTTTTCTAATTCTATTATCATCTTTATATTTTTTGACTTATACTTATAGTTGATAATTTATTACAAATCACAAAAAAAATTTCAACAGATTTTGTACACATGGTCATCTTTATCTAACATTGGAATGGAGGGATAATCAAATTCAACTGTTTGCTGATGTAGATTGGGTGTTTAAGAAGTTATTCATGTATACTAATTTCCAAATACTGAATTGTATATGATCATATATAATTACTGAATTCATTTGTTCTTACATGTATATAAATTATTCTAATTCTTGGGTTGAAGAATAAAATGGTATATCGTTATCAACGTTTTCAAACTCTGTCCAATTCAGTGTATTATTTATCATTTCAATTATTTCACTTGATTAGCTGTCTCATTACTCAGCAGAATAATGTAGGAAAATTCTACTTGTACATAATTATTACACAAAATGGTATCTATAATGTGATGTGACAATCATCTGGTTGTTGATGTGCAAGTGTGATATTTGAATTAAAGGTTGGATCCAGTGATAATGTAATTATGTACATGTAACACATCCCAATAATGTAAATGGTGTGAAATTATACGGCAAATATACCTCACATGTTTCTCCACTACCATTTTTTTTAAGGCAAACAAATCTCCCAAACATTATTGAGTAACAAGGGTTCTATGTACGGAAAATGACAAATAAGTGCTAAAAATTGACACTATATTATTAACAGCTAATTAGAATAATTCCAAAAACCTACAGTTCAAAGAAATCAACTTTAGTTGATGAGAATTGGAAAATGACAAATAAGTGCTAAAAATTGACATTATATTATTAACAGCTAATTAGAATAATTCCAAAAACCTACAGTTCAAAGAAATCAACTTTAGTTGATGAGAATTCTTTGCACCTTACAAAAAAATCTTCAAAACAAATGCTTACAAAGAGACATATGGGAGCAAGTACTCTCACTTATTCACCATTCAGTATGTTATGTATTGTGTGTAGAAAAAAACAAACCAATATGATAAAGAAACAAAAGAGAAGAAGAACAAACTGATGAAGAATGGAGAGGAAGAAGGAACCGTTCTTTCTACCTCCAACACTTAGAAAAAAAATATGAGATTACAATGAGTTTAAATACTACAAAACAAAGGAAATATAAAAGACTAAATTACCCTTAACCTAATATATTGATTAACCTAATATATTTATTATATTAACATACCCCCTTCAAACTCACGATGCCACAGCAAGAAGCAGCGAGAGTTTGTCAAGCAAAAAACGAAAATGATGAACTGGATAAGACTTTTTGAAGAAGTCAACAAGCTGCAATGATGAAGAAATAAATGGTAGGGAAATGGTGCCAATCTGCAAATGATGGTGAATCAGATGATAGTCAATCTCAATATGCTTCGTGTGCTCATGGAACACAAAATTTTGAGAAATCTGAATAGTACTTTTATTATCACAATACATGGGTGTAGGAGAGGACAAAGAAACACCCATGTCTGTAAGTAACCAACGCAGCCATACAATTTCAGTAGCAGTGGAGGCCATAGCATGATGCTCTGCCTCAGTAGATGAACGAGAAACAACAATCTGTTTCTTACTCTTCCAAGAAATAAGGGAATCACCCAAAAATATACAAAAATCAGTAGTAGACTTGCGATCGGTAGGGTTGCTGGCTCAATCAGCATCAGAGTAGCCACGGACCACTAAAGAGGAGGTCGATGGGAATAAAATTCTCTGAAAGCAAGTACCACGAAGCAAAATATGAACAATAGTAGCCCAATGAACTGTGGTAGGAGTTGAAACAAATTGACTAATAATGTGAACAACATAAGCAATATCTGGACGTGTGATGGTAAGATAAATCAGACATCCAATAATGGTGCGATATAAAGTGGGATCAATCAAGGGTACACTGTCGGATGGGGAATATCTAGCATTGGACTCAAGAGGAGTGTTAGCAATTTTAGTATCAGTAAGACGAGTACGCTCAATGACATCTATAGTATACTTAGATTGAGAAAGAAGATAACCTTTAGGAGAAGAAGCAACTTCGATACCCAAAAAGTAAGATAAAGTACCTAAGTCTTTCATTTCAAAATGACGAGCCAACTCTAATTTTAAATCTGCAATCCCACCAGCATCATCACCAGTAATAATCATATCATCAACGTACAACAAAAGTAGAATACGACCAACCGAAGTACATCTGAAGAATAGGGCAGAGTCATGATGGCTGGATGCAAAACCAAGAGAGGTAACAACAGTGAAAAATTTCTCAAACCAGGCACAAGATGCTTGTTTGAGATCATAAAGTGCCTTCTTGAGCTTACAAATATATCCAAAAGAGTGAGAAAGACCAGGAGGAGGAACCATATAAACCTCTTCATGAAGATTTCCATTCAAAAATGCATTTTTGACATCCAACTGAGAGAGATTTCACCGACAAACAGATGCAACTGCAATAAGTGTACGAATAGTCATCATCTTGACAACAGGAGCAAAACTCTCCTCATAATCCAAACCATACTGCTGATTAAAACCTTTGGCAACCAATCTAGCCTTATAATGCTCAACTGAAACATCAGACTTAGTTTTAATCTTATAAACCCAACGAGAACCAATAGCATGTTTACTTTGAGGCAATGCAACCAAGTCCCAAGTGTCTGTCTTATGTAGAGCAGAATGTTCATCAGCCATAGCCTGTTGCCAAAGAGGATCAAGAATAGCTTCTTTATAGGAAGATGGTTCAGATAGTTTGTGAATAGAGGTTAGAAAACAACAAAATGACTCAAATAAGAAGAATAAGCAAAATCAGGTATCTGAGTGGACTTATGAATATGTTGAGGATATCGAGGAGTATGGGGAACAGGAGCTGGACCAACAATCTCAGATGGTGATTGGCAAGCAATAGAATCAGGAGGGGTATTATGAGCTGGCGCATGTGTACCTGTAGGACATGAAAAATAAACAGTACATAGGGTATGGGAATGTGGTCTGTCAATATCATCAGAGAATGGGTCGATACGAATGAGATCATGTTTAGACAAGGCATGAGTATTATCAGGAATAGAAAAGAATGGAATATGCTCAAGAAACACGACATGACGAGAAATATATAATTTCTTATTGATGGGATCAAAACAGCGATAACCCTTTTGTCCCTGACCATAACCTAAGAAAACACAAATAGCAGAGCGAGATGTCAACTTATTACGTTCAACATCAGGACGAAGAACAAAACAAGTACAATCAAAGACTCTCAATGAAGAGTAATCAGGAGGATGCCCATATAATTTTTCAAAGGGTGATGAACCTGAATTATGGGAAGAAGGAATCTTATTAATTAAAGAAATAGCGGTAAGAACTGCTTCTCCCCAAAATTCACAGGGAACTTTGGCAGATAGAAGAAGGGAACGAGCAGTTTCTACAATGTGCTTATGCTTTCGTTCAGCAACGCCATTTTGTTGTGGGGTATTAGTACATGAGGTTTGATGAATTGTGCCATCAAGAGCAAGTAATACAGAGAAATCAGTTGAGATAT